TTGTTTCCATAAATTTCTGCCGTATTAGTTCTTATTTTTACTACAAGCTTTCGTCTGTTCCTACAGACATCTTCAGGTATAGAATAGATGTTGTTCTTGTTTTTTCTCTTAGTAATAAGAGGACAACGAAAATATATGTATTGTTGTATCCGAAAATGCTATTGAAAATGAGTTATTGTTTTTGGAGCGCGCAGTAGCAACGCTAAGTTTGATTTTAAATTTTTTTAAAGTTGTGCGTTCATGTACAACTATGGTGATGAACGAATTTTTTACTGGTAAATTTTCTGTCAAAGTGGCATGAACTATATTGTTCAATAATTACAGTAATGTCGCACTTATTATCCAAAAGTCGCACTTGGATCAGTTATTTTAATTACAATAAACGTGCAATCAATTTATAAATTCATGAATTATTCACACAAAAACAAATGCAAAGGTTAATGATTTAATTGGCGAGAAATCCATCATCGCAAACAATTCAAATAATATACAAAAACCTCCGAATCCGTTATGAATGTAAAGATCCTTGTTTCCATAAATTTCTGCCGCTCCAAAAACAATAACTCATTTTCAATAGCATTTTCGGATACAACAATACATATATTTTCGTTGTCCTCTTATTACTAAGAGAAAAAACAAGAACAACATCTATTCTATACCTGAAGATGTCTGTAGGAACAGACGAAAGCTTGTAGTAAAAATAAGAACTAATACGGCAGAAATTTATGGAAACAAGGATCTTTACATTCATAACGGATTCGGAGGTTTTTGTATATTATTTGAATTGTTTGCGATGATGGATTTCTCGCCAATTAAATCATTAACCTTTGCATTTATTTTTGTGTGAATAATTCATGAATCTGTATATATATATATGTCAGAAGATTTTAAATTTTTAATATTTTTATTGTTCAATATATATATATATATATATATATATATTGAACAATAAAAAATATTAAATATATATTGAACAATAAAAAATAGTAAAAATTAAAATCTTCAGACATATATATATATATATATATATATATATATATATATATATATATATATATATATAAATATGATATATATATATATATGGAGAATATATATATATATAATGAACAATAAAAAATATTAAGTACATATATATATATATATATATATATATATATATATATATTGAACAATAAAAAATAAAAAATAAAATCTTCAGGCCCACTGGGTGGTATATTAATATTCCTTCGTTTTTATTATTATTTCATTTAGATTCCTCGACTAGTTTCGGCCAACAAGGCCATCATCAGGAGAAAAAAAATTCTGCTTGCTGGGAGCAGTGAACTTTTGAAATGAATGTCTTGATGGAGAAAATGAACCTTTGTCTGTAGTTTTCATTTGTTTTTTTAATTTTTTTAACATGAATTTTGGTCAGGAATTGTGATGGTCAAACAGTCTCTTTTAAGTTGTTATTTGAGATAAGAGCTGGATTGAATCATGCTGCTATATATATATATATATATATATATATATATATATATATATATATATATGTATTCAAATATATATTGTTAAATATAACAAACAACGAATGTCTATTATGTTTGATCATGAGCAGTTCTAAACTTCGTATGGTTGTTTTAATTTCTAGAGAATATAAAGACAAAAATTGTCGCACATTTGGATATTTTTTTATTATGCTGTTCCTTGATCTAAACTTTCGGCTCACATGAGCCATCTTCAGGTTGGTCATATGGACATTAAACAATACTATTCACCATCACATATAATATTCTGTTATGTCGACATAGAAGATTATACCTGTGCCTGCTATTCCACGGCCGTTATCGTCTCATAGCAGGCACAGGTCGTAAATTCATGATGCGATTCTATGACGTCGTAACCACGCGAAAGAACGAAATATTAACAATAGAACCATACGTCTAGATGCGATCTAATGTGTTGCGACTATATATATATATATATATATATATATATATATATATATATATATATATATATACGGGATAATGATATATAATTTTGTTCATATTACAAGAACAATTTTAATGGAAGAATTATGAGAAAGTGGAAATTGTTTTCGCATGAAGCGTTTCGTCCATTAGTACTCAGTTTATGTTTACGTTGGCGCGCATGAATGAAATACGCTGGTGATAGTTAATTTAATAATAATTTATTTATTTTTAAATGAGAGTTTAAATTATATAATCTAGCCAATTTCCATTAGATTCTTTTTCTGTTTGTTTATATTACCATCACTTTTGTTATTAAAAATCTCATTTAATAACAAATCGTGATAACTGAAAATCTGTCAACAATGACGCAAAATTGTAAGAACATGTATTTAATGTAGATCATCTTGCTATAAAATCAATTCAAAAAATTTCCGTCTTAGTAAATATTTCAATTAGAGCAGCATATTTTAAATCAGAATTAAGGTCAGACTCCTTAATAATAATAAAAATAATAATAATAATAATAATAATAATATACATATATATATATATATATTGTGTGTATTTAGGCAGCATCTTTTCATTCATACACGTTTCATTAAATAATATAGACAAGTCTTGTCTGTTTATTTTATGTAAATTTTTTTCGTAACGTCTGATAAGTTTAATAACATTATCATTGAACGAAGAAAGAAATTCACAATATTGATCCATATTTTTTTAAATACAATCTAATGTTTCGGCTTACTTAAGCCATTATCAAAGATGTTAATTACAACATATTAAGCAATATACGGACAAGACAGTGATGATAGTCTGTAGGGATTTATGTTATAATTTTCTCTAGTCTGTCTCTTTTAAGTCCGTGTGCACTTATAATAATTCTTTACCACAAATTTTGCAACAATTTTTAGATATGTAAAAAAGTATTTTCTTTTTTCCAGCGTATTACACTTTGCATTGTTTACATTGGCAGACTATCATTGATATATATAGACTATCTATCATATATTTAGAAATCATCTATGTAAACATTGACAGACTATCATCACTGTATTGTTCCGAAAAAATTTACATAAAATAAATAGACAACACTTGTCTATATTATTTAATGAATGTATATATATATATATATATATATATATATATATATATATATATATATATATATATATATGTATATATATATTATTCAAAGGACATCCTTTTTACAAAAAAGTTCTCTATATGACGATAACGGTCGCGGAATAGCAGATCGTAAATTCCTAATGCGGTTCTATGTCATCTTTGAGGGTGAATATCTTTGTTGTAATGTCCATATAATCACTCTGAAGATGGCTCATGTGAACCGAAAGCTTAGATCGAGGAACTGCATAATAAAAATACCCAAATCTTGTACAATTTTTGTTTTTATTTTCTCCCGAAATTAAAGCCACTATACGAAGCTTAGAACGGCTAATAATCAAACATAATAGACATTCGCTGTCTGTTATATTTAACAATATATGCTTGAATATATATATATATATATATATATATATATATATATATATATATATATATATACACCCACACACACAGGGTGTCCATAAGTTTGTGTGCACTTTACAAAATTTATAACATTTATATTTGCGATAGAAATAATTTGTAAAAAGGATTAGAAGGAAGTAAATCTATATTTTTAAAGGTTTTATTGAAATTTTATTTAAGTTTCCACATGTCCTCCATCATTAGCAATACAAAGTGTAATACGCTGGAAAAAAGAAAATACTTTTTTACTTATCTAAAAATTGTTGCAAAATTTGTGGTAAAGAATTATTCAATAATTATACTTAAAGCTAGGCACATTAAACTTTATAACATTTTTACTGATTATTTCTATCTCAAATACAAATAAAGTTAAACGAACTTAAAAAGACAGACTAGAGAAAATTATAACATAAATGTGTTATAAAATCTCTACAAAAATAGCCATTTTGTTTCAACACTTCTGGTGTCTTATCAAGTGATGGTGTTGAATATATATATATACATATGTATACATATATATGTGTGTGTGTGTGTTTCAACACTTCAATAAAATATATATATATATATAATTTTCGACAGTTCTGGTGTCTTATCAAGTGAAGTATTGAAACAAAATGGCTATTTTTGTAGTGATTTTGTGACATATTTATGTTATAATTTTCGAATAAAAATAATATATATATATATATATATATATATATATATATATATATATATATATAAAA